CACAAAGTTATTAGACTGCACAGCAGACTTACCTAGAGATGACAAGGATAAACCCGATCCTGAATCACGAGCGTTGAGTTAAATTAAGATTCTCCGCCCCTTTTTTTTGGCTAGAGTCCTTTTTCTTGTTGTCTCCTTCAGATGTGGATGACGCTGGGTACTGCAGTGGATATCATGTCAACTAATTTTTTTTGTACAAGTGCCTATAGTTTATTATAATACGGGTAGCTCAAATCAAGCGATGATTGGTTCATAGCAGAAATGGGGACTCGAGTTTGAGACTCGTCCTCAAAAGACTTCAGATTTGACTCAGACTCGAGGTGTGGGACCCGTGAACAATGTTTATTTTTAGAAAACGTCTGATGAGCTTGCTGTTATTCCCTTCCCTGCGTTACCTATAACCTGCCTACGTAATACGTAGAATCAGCTGCGCACGGCCACACGTGATAGAGAACAAAAACACCGGCAGCTGCTGTGCCATTCATCATAAACTTTGGCTTTAAAACTTCATACAACAAGACCCAAACAAAGAAGCACTGAATACGCAAGATAGGTTAGTAATCTGAGGTTAGTGAACATGTTCAGCTCAGCATTGGCCATCTAACGTTAGCTTGCTTCTTGCTTTAGCTATGATCTACCGGAGGTTAACTCCGACTGTGTTATGAAAAGATGAATGAGCGTTTGTTTACTTGCCAAACTTGTGGTAGCCAATTAACGTAATCATTTATGTCCTGCTGTCTGCCATCACGATAATTATTAACGTCGGCTGCAGGTTTATTGATGATCATGTAACGTTACAGTTTTATTTAGTTATAACGTTACACTGGTTTGAGAGTCTGGGGGACGTGTTGGCTTACAGTAATTTATAAGCTGTCATTAGTTGTAGACGCATTGTACATTAGGCTGGTTGTGCTCTGTAAGTGAAAAGCAGGTTTATTGTTAATCACGTAACGTTACAGTTTTATTTAGTTAACGTTACATTGGGTTTGAGAGTCTGGGGGGTGTGTTGACTGAGAGTAAGGTGCGATTAATTGCATTGCACATTACACGGTTGTGCTTTGTAAGTGAAAATAGGTTACAGTTACAGAATCCCTTTTAGTTATGCAGACGTGCAAATTCCTTTGATGTCAAATTCCTTTGCACAGATATCACTCCGCGACAAACAGGGTTCGAATTATAATCTGAGCTTCGTGGGGGTCTCTAATATACTAACTAATGTTACAGGCGGAGATAAATAAATAAATAAATAAATAATGATGAGAGAGAGATATCATTGCTTATTATGTGATTCAACATTTCCCTCTCTCACACACACACAGCAGTCCCCAGATGTCTGCGATATTGCAACAAAGTTTAAGTTTCAATAGCTTGAAAAATGCCATCAAAAACTATTGCTCAAGGAGAGACAGCAGTTCCCCTTTATGGTAGGTATAATATTAAAGTGTTATTATTTTATGCACTGCTGGCCGCCCGCACACAGTAGCAAGCAGATTATCATATGTAGCGCTGTATTAATTTTAGGATGCAGCAAAAAGCCAATAATACTAAACAAATAGGCAGCAGTCAATACAGAGTCTAATACAGTACAATACAACTGAGTTCATGTTCGCAGGTCGCGGCCTCAACCTGGTAGTTCAAAACTGTGCGCACGATAGTGGCTGATAATGGAGAAGTGCAGCCCTCCTGTCAGTCATGCGATGCGCAGCGTCGTTCATTAGGAAAGTATGTTCATTTAAGTCTGTTTATCTTTTTATTGTAAATAATTGTAGGTACTACAATGAAAAATACATTATTTGTGATTCAAAATAATGGTTGTTGATAAATTAATTAGTGATCCCCACAGATGCATGATTTTACTGCTTCCATGGGAGCTCAGACTCTGCTTGTGGGCGCTGAGCTCACATCTCCACCTCACAAAAAATGCAAACCAAGTTCAAGTTACCAAAGTCAATCGCTGAACAGTTTTTAGTGACTGAAGGGGGTTGCGAGTACAACAAACAACGCTTCTTAACTGTGATATAATAAGCGTATACCATGGCCTGTCGTGACCTATTGCTTAACTGTACTTTATCACTGTATTTGTTTTACATGTAACATGACCCGCAAATGGACAGTTAGCAATATGCAAATGTGCATTTTAGATTGCAGCCAGGTACGTGCTCGTACATGTGCTCAAATTCATGAGTGAGCAGAATCCGCTCATGAGCTTCCCACAAAGTGCTAGAAACTCAGGTAAACATCCACTGCAATGTCAGAGTAATATTTTGATCAGCCTGAGGTTAAACTAATCCATGCTCGTTGCATGATAACGTTACATTGACAGCAGTCAACATGATACATCAGGTTTAGCTCCCTGCCGCTTTTCCTGTTGGTGCATTTTTCACCCCTGAGCACTCACCTGTGGGCCCTCACATCCGCCTTTCGCAACGTTTCAAATTGCAAATTGTCTGCCAGTCAACAAGACTTCCCTCCACTATTACATTATAACTAGAATGATTTCTATTTACAGCACCCTCCCAACTCATATATAATGTTAATGTTGTGTTGTGTAATGTGTGTGTCCAGTGGTCTTTTTCCTGTCAAGCGCGATAATGTGCTTGGACATCCTCACATCATCTTTCTTGCAAAGTTAGTAGGCTATTTATCATGTTTAGGAAGTCTAAGAAAAAAAGTGATGCACAGAAGAGGAAGAAGAAAAGAAAGCGGGAGGACAGTAAATACAAATTGCCAAAATTGGATACATTTCTTTAACCTTCACCATCAAGTGCTAGCAATATTGTTGAAATTAGCAACGTTGATGTGCAACAGGAGGCTTATGTTAGCATGCTACCTACTTGTTCCAAAACAATCGAAGATGCATCAACCCAATCAGAGATTTCCCTGTTGCAGCCTCAAGTCCGGAGCCCAGTGGTAGGTTTTTTAGCCTAGAGATAGGGGACTCTGTGACAGTACTGTGCTTCCCGACCCCAAGACCAAGAGCTATATCATCATTTAAGAAGTAATATGTGACAAGAAAGACTGAGTGGATTGGCCACACTCTCTACTGAGAATGACAGAGCCAGGAAGTTCAATGTAAGCAGTGTTGTCAACGACTTTGCTGAACAGAAGGCCCCTTGAGTGAACTTCTGATGGGTGAATTACCGGTTTCTTTCTGTTTAGAGTAGGATCTGGGATTTAAATTGCAATTGTTACCTCTTGAATGTTGGAAAATGAGCACTTACTGTAACCTGTCTCTGTAACGTTTCTGGACGCTTTGCCGCTGTGTTGTTGGGACCTGAATCCACAGGAGAGGAGATTGATAATTGAAGGCTCTGGTTCCAATTCTACTTTCGACTCGGGTCTATCTGTGAATTCTCTGCGACCAACAGCCCTACAGAGTGCTGACTGGCAGATTTAACATCACCAAATACCCAGTTTGCGCACATCTGCATAAATGATGTTTCCATGTCAAAACCCACTTGTCACATATTTCCTCACAAACAGGACAGGCCTTTCATATGCCTAGAGGTTGTAAATACAGCCTCATTCCTACAGTGAAGCTACATTTGAATTTATCATGTATAAATATAGACATGGCTGTCAAAGTTCTTGTAACCTCATGAATCTTGGCTATCACGACAAAATGGTGATTTAGCCCCTGGAGGCAAATGGCCAGTGTTTCAGGGTTTCTGGTGTACCCAGCAGAGATCCAGATACTTGACTATGAATGGAAACCAGAATGCTTCAGATTCCAAAATCTTTTCCCTTGCCTGCAGATTCTGCATTACAAAGATTCAAGTTCAGGAGGCTCCACTGTTTATGCCTAAAAAACATCAGCAGAGCAGTCACAGCCAGTTGCATTTTCCACAACCTCTGAGTAGAACTGGCCAAGTTGTTTACAGTGTTTCAAGAGGATACTGACTGACCACCACTGTGATGCATGTCATTACAGGTGCCTATATCACTTCTCCTTTCTACATTACACAGCTTTTCTTTGAACACTTTGTGAGATGGCAGGCAGGATGCCACAGGGTGATGGAGGCAAATGTAAATTTTATCATGGATATCTAATTTCATACTTATGCGTGGTAATCCAGTGGGCCACAAAGCATTATCTTAATTAACATTTGAAGAAGCAGCTCCCAGAAATCTGGTGATTAGAGCCCAGACAAAATTAGCAAGGGATGTTAGAGCATCAGTGGTCCCCAGAGGTAATCAGAGGTAATTCCTTTGTAAAATGGGACCATCCAATTCATGTCTGCTCTGTGAGCCAATAAAAGGGGTGAATATCATAGCTATTGGTAAATTTATAATCGAGATAGCTCTAAACATAATCATGTGCAAATGATTTCCCATCATGCACATAGCTGATACAGGCATCACATGATTGGGTCGACATAAGTTTAAGTTGGACATAATTTATAACCAGCAGGCATTGTTCTAAGCCAGACAGTGATCTGCTCAGACGTTAAAAGTCGAGCCCAAATTTGCCACCAGTTGATTTCATTAGTGATTGACTAGACTGACGGAGTGCTAATCAGTGAAATCAGTTGCTGTTGTCTTGTAGCACTTCATCACACAGTTGCCTAATTCTAATTCACTGTTGAACTTAGGTGTTTTTACAGAAATACCAGTGGAAATCTTAGTCTTATTGTCTACAAATACAAGCAATCGAAAGTTCATCTCTGTGCAGCCAATTTGTTTTAGATTGACATTTCAACACAAAAGTCTGATTGAGAAACACAGACATATTATTTGAAAATGACAGCTTTTCTAAACAAAGGATGATCAGAAAATTTAATTTTAGGAAACTCCTGATGACTAAAGTTCCAGCTACAGTACCTACCTTTCTGATTATATTCTATAGTCACCATGAAAGGTAAAAAAAGAGCTTTTTTAATGTGTATGAATATGAGTCAAAATTATCATGGCTGGAAGCTGAAGTTGATTGTTATTGTGACTTAAATGGATGACACAATAAAAAAGTATTATAAGACAGTAAAAGAAAAGTCAGTTTTTTGGGGGTCTTTATTGGCCTCCATGAACCATGTTTAAACAATGACAATAGCAAAAAGAAAAACAAATAAAACAAACAAAAAAACCCCTTAGGGCTTGTGTCCATTGGCACCCCTTCTACCTGTAGCACATTCAACTGTGGCCCATGTGTAGGTCTCACTGTAACTATGTAAAAACTGAACTCAGCTCGTTTGCATAATATAACAATATGTATTTTTTTTTTAGCGGTAATATTTTTTTTCAGCACTGTCAGATGTAGCCACTGTAGATGTCCCATTTTTTTACAGCTTGCTTGCTGGCTGAACTCCGGCTGGGCATTGGCTTCATCTGGGAGGAATTGTTTAGAAAAATATTATTATTTCCACAGTTAGAAGTTATTTGCATTGGTCTGAAAACAAGATGGTTAAGGGACGTCTGTAGTGGCTAATAATGTAAAACCATCCTCTGAAAACAAGTCATCCTTGTTTTCTCTCAGAAAAATAAGGCAGCAGCATAAATACAGATCCTTTGTCACCACGAAGCCTAAGTCTGTAGTGTCAACATGAAGAACAACTGAATCATCCAGTTCAAGGATATACAGATCTGTCTCAAAACTTCTGTTCATTTTAAACTGTGTTGCATTAGTTAAAAAAGTTTGGATTAGGGCTAATAATAACGATTAATTGTTTTCAAATCGAAATTGCGATTTGAAAGAACACGATTAGCTAATTGTGAAGATGGCGAATAAATAGGTTAATTATACAGCGCATCTGACTCGTTTTAGTTACAGATTAATTCCGTTGTCATCCTTGTGTGACAGATCTGCTCGGCAATAACAAGCACCATGCGCCTCCTGTTACACTCCTACTCACCTATCAGAGTGCGCAGGCCGTGCACATGTTACAACAACAAACAAAACTAGAGGAAAACGCGGGACAATGGCACCAGGCAAACAGACACAGGCTGCAATTGGTTTTGTCTAGCGTCAACTCAAGTGTTTCAGCAGCGGAGCGTTTACCTACACTTACGTATTGTTAATTTTTCATTTTGTGTACTTGAACTATGGATAACAGCTCTCTGTGAGCCCGTTTCGTTACGCTTTCTGCAGCCTACAGATCCACATGGAGCATTTCAGAATAAGAGCGTTTTGCCTGCCTGCTTTTTCAGACTTGTTAAGATTTTGCTAATTTGTTCAGTTATCTCTGATTTTTGTGCTTCTATCCTGCTTAACTAGGCTACGTAGTTAAATTGTCTTTTTGTCTGTTTTAACTGTATTTATCGTTGACGTATGATCGTGAGCCTGCACAGGGCATTTTATTTTGGAAATCAACCCGATTCTCTATGCCGTTCTGTGTCTGACTTCCTGGCCGGTTCATGAGCTCTGTGTTGCTTGACGCGGCTTGCGTCAAAAATAGACAGGAAGTGAATATTGAACTTTAGCTAAACTTAGATTAAATGCAATGTTTCTGTGCAGCATTATGTTGAATATTGGAAAAGTCAATGCTGTTGAATGCGCTGAACACATTGTTTGCCCAATCGCCTCTCTTAGCTCCACATCCTCGCTTCTACTTACACTGTATAACATCACACTACTTTGGCTTATAGTTGCTATTGCAAATTGGTAAAAATATGAACATAATTCTGTAGAAGACAGATTGACATAAGATTGGGTATCCATTTACATGTATACCAGAGGAACAGCCTCTGAAAGGTGAAAAATAAAATAAAACACAACTGTGCTCTTGTTTCTGCACCTGCTGTTGAGCCAAAGAGCATGAATTAAAACAAAAATCTACTCTCTAGTAGCAACAAATTATTATCCTGGGCGTTCTGTGTAACTTCTGACAGCTGCAAATATGATAATGAAATCAAACCTTTATGCTTTTAAAACAATCCTTGGGAACTGTGCCAAAGTTCAAGCAGTTGTTTAGTAAGCAGTCAGTAAATTGTGGGTCCTTCCGCAATGGCTACATAGTACATTTGTCTTTCTCTGATATCAAAAGAAGCTGAAATGCCCCCCAAAATTTTAAAAGTAATTTTTTTCAGTTGATAGCCATACAGTTTTAGACAGGTAGAATGGGTGTCACAAACTTTAAAGTATAATTAAAGTCACAGTTCTAGCAAGTCAAAACATTTTTCATCTGAGAGCATTGCTACACTTCTACCATACGTAACTATGGAACCTGTACCTGTTTGACTGATCCTTTCAATTCACAGCAGTGTTGTAGCTACGTTAGAGTAGGCGAGATACAATAATGTCCAGATCATATGGTGTGGTCGCCATCATCAGTCAAAATATCTATTGCTTTGGTGGAGGCTGTGCAGCTCATTTACTTCCCCCATTTGAAGTCAGCTCAGGTCTCTTATCTGTGTCTATCTGAGCTCTCTGGCCTTTCAATCCTCTATTTACTCAGTAAAGATGATTTGTGATTTCATGTGCATTTTTATCCATCCATTGTCAACCGCTTATCCTGCATACAGGGTTGCGGAGTGCATTTTTATCATGTGTCTTGTTTAACAAATGATGAAAATATGGATGTTTACATCGAAGTCCAGATTTTGCCTTTGTTTTCTGTTGGACTAGCCCAACATCCTAACATTTGGTTTTGTTTTCTTTCTGAAATGGATCTCTTGGACTCACCATCCTCACGCAATTTTGAGTGTGATGTAAGATGGATTGCCTCCACTTTTACATCTCATGATGGAGGTAAACTGATTCCTACCCTGTACAAAGACAAGAACTCATTCAATATTTTAAACAAAGACAGGAACATTTTTAGAAAAAGAACCAATAAGATCACTTTCACATTGTGTTGGTAGATAGTATTGTGTACCATATTTGCACTGTAAAATGTACAAAATATCACCATGTTGTTGGCTAGTGACCTGCAATCTTATTCACAAGCACTTTGAAGCATGTTTATTTATCTACAACATACAGTGTACTCTGAAACAGTAACACATTTATAAATAAATATTGCAATCTTAACAATCTTACACATCTCCTTTTTTATTGTTGGTTCTTCATGACTCGTCACCTGAGCTTAACGAAGGTGAGGCAACCTCTGCCAGTTCTGTCTCCTTTCCTTCACTTGTTCTCTTGTGTGCTATCATTCACCAGCAGGTCTATTATTTTCAATCTTTGCCTATGGCCTTTCTTTCCTTCCTCACCCTCTCAAATGTTAATTTAAATAAATAGATAGCTAGGAGAAAACAGAATCATATATCCTTAAAATCTTAATAAATCTCTGAAATAAAAAGCTACAATTAATATCTTCCCAGATTAGGAAAAAAACTTAATATGGAAAACCGTTAAAACATTCTATTTATCAAAAAGGATAAACAAAAGGAAAGAAAAAATATATATCATGTTTAGCAAGAACAAACATGTTTCATCAACCCATATCTATTTGTGAGATTTTCAAGAGTCACTCCATTTTCATTTGTATTGTAATGTCCTTCAATATATCCTGTTAGCTCCATGTACAACACTGTAGGTACTCTAGTCTTGTTGCCCACATGGTTTCTGGTTTAAATAATCCTCATAATCAAGTGTTCAGTCAGGCTTTGCAAAGCCCAAGCAGCCTTCTTTTTATATGAAAAGAATCAGTCAGTCCCCTTTAGTTTACAGACATTTCACAGTATTTCACTGTGTACTTTAGTTCACAAAGTGTCTACTGCTGTCCAATCACTGACAAGAAGAGGGGCAAGGGGATGACAGGATTGGTTCTGAATACAGGGAGAAAGCTGTCATTGGCTGGAAGGTTTCAGGAAACAGGAAGTAAGCCTCAAATACGGCTAATGTCCTTTCCTGTTTGTAATTGTGCAAGTTTGAATGCCTCTGTCTTGGATCCAAGGGAACAGTCTTTTCATCATCACAATCAACATTTTCCAACTCTTGACACATTCTGTTGTTTGAGGAAAGAGCAAGATAGCCTGTGTTCAGTGCTGAATGGCAACTCCCACTGCTATCTGAATTTATAATTGAGTACTTGGAATATATATATATATATATATATATTACATGTTATATTTTACTTATGAGCAATTCCAAAAGCAAATTGGTCACATGATGGAACAAAAACAGATTGTATCTTTAATGCGAACCTATTCTTCCGTAATCATAATCAGTGATTATTATTCAACCATTCAGCAAACTTGGCAGGTGAATGACAGGTTTATATATTAAAATTAGATATAGCAATAATCAGTTAACAGCCACAGCCAGTGCTGGCAATATACCACATGAGTAAAAAAATACTTCAGAAAAGACGTTCTTGCCATCCTCATTTAAAAATGTATAGTGGCTTAATTATGTTTGTCCAATATCATACCCTGAATTTACTGTATATCGCAATGGTTTACTGCTATTGAATGAATAAATGAACATTCAAACCAATAGTGACTTTATTATTGATTTGTACATAATATTTTTTACAATAAGTAAGATAAACTGAAATAAAATGTTATTTATTGTTTGCTACCATTGATTTCAGTGCGAGCTAGTGATGACAGTATGCTTTCCATAGCCTAAGGGGAGCATCCCCTACACTGTCTGTTCAGTAATCTTCGCCTCACTGTCGCGTTCTCTTTACTGTTCTCATATTCCTTCCATTCCCCCTCCCATCATCCATTGCAAAGGCATTACAGGTGAATTGTACTCATTGTCCATCCTCCTCCTCCTGTACTCATCCTCTGCCCCTCCATTTCTCAGTCCCTTTCCCATCAGTCACAGATTGTCTTGTAGCCTCTCCATGTAGGTTCTGATTTCAGACTGACCCAGGTCCATATCCTGGCACACCCACTTGATGTCATCCTCACTCCCATTGGTCACCAGGACTGAAGAATTGGTGTATGGGCCACCCCCACCTGAATTATCATTGGGCAGCACAGTGGCAAAAGATGTGAACTGGACGCGTTTGCGCTTGGCGGCTGCAACTGCAGCTGCAGCCGTGGCTCGGGGGGAATTATTCAGATGCTCCACTTGACCAGTGGCAGTCTTGCCACCACTAGTGATTGCTGAAAGGCACTGGTGTGGTTCTGGAACAGATCTGGGCAGGGTTTGTCCATGGGTGACGCCTCGGTGTCCACCTGTGCCCATGCCCATCACCATGGTGTTACCAGCCCCATTTAGCAGGTACTTGTTCTCCTCATATCCTCCTTCATTCCGGTCAATGATGGTGGTGCACTCATCAGGCAGCCCGCCCTGGCATTGGTCAGAGTGGTCAGCTAAAAGGTCCGCCTCATTGCCAAGCCACACCCAGTCATGGGCGTGATTCATGTTGCCTCCTGCTTCCAGCACGGGCACCTGCTTGTGACGGTATCTGCAAAAGAAGGATGATAATTAGTCTACCATTGAAGTACCATTTTGAACAAGTGCAATTTTATAATGTGCTGCTTTTTTACATTAACATATGGCATCCCTTTATAGAAATAGAAATGTACAGACTAAAAAACATAACTTCAGAGACATAATTTTAAATGTTGATAAAATGTGATCATACTCTTGACACACTTGTGAAAAGAAAACTTAAAATAGACTAGCAGATGTCTAAGCATCATGTCATTGAAATTTTCAAGAAACAATTTATGCATAAAAATAGTGTTCACCAGAAGTAAACCTTAGATTGTGTATTATTTTCTAGTTACATGTAATATATATTTGAACCAAAACTACTGAGCAAACTGAGACTGAACAAATCAAATTCAAATCATGGGCTAACAAGCAAACAACAATAGATTAACCAAATTTAGCCAATAAAGACATTGTCCCTCAATGCCAGGTGCATCGTTGCTGTCTATGCCTTTCAGGTCATATGGTGATCCACACAGAGACCATACAATTTAACCTACCAACAATTTTATTGCTGGATTCCCTTAAATTATAGTCCTCAATTATCACAATGTTTTACCTGAAAGCAAAGCTCACACAGTTGATGAGGAAGACTAGTATTGCCAGGCAGAATACACCCAAAAGGGCATACATTCCAATCTCCAGGTCCGACAGTCCCCTGGTGGTCTGGGTCAGCTCACTATCCCCAGTGCCTGGTATCTCGACTTGTGCTGGGTAGTTATTGTAGTCCCCTGCTTGGCTGGGGCCTCCACCCCGACTGCTGCTGCTGCCTCCATTAGCAGCTTTACCACCTAAAGCACGATGGGTTACTGTGCTCTTGGTCGTTGTGCTAACCTGATTGATGGAAAAGAAGACATAAGCAGTGTTTACATGGACCCTAATATTACTAATAATCACAATAATAGCCCAATCAAGGAATTTTCAAAAGGGTTAAGAGGGGTAGTGTAAACGTTTCAAATTCTATGAAAATGACTAATAAACAACCTTGTAGCTTGTATTCCATTCAATAGGAAAATATTAACACCTAATAACTATGTAAACACCCAATCCAATCATTTGTCTGTGGTTGGAATAAATATGTTCTCCTCATGTTTTCCACATGTAGGGGTAATATTAGGTGACTTGAGGGACAGAAACATGGCAGTAGCAAAACAAAACTGGTTTGTGGCTGATACAACTTTTTTGTTGGAGATCGTGCTGTATTCACAGGGATTCAAGCAGATGGTAGATGGCAGACAGACAACAAATTCTGGACAGCACAGGGAAAACAAACTGTCCAAAGGAATGGCAGGAGGGCAAAACTAAACGCACGTGACAATATGTAAAAGGTAAAGGTATTTTTCTGTCACATACACATACATGTAACGAAATTAATTCTCTGCATTTAACCCATCCCTCAAGGGAGCAGTGGGCAGCTACTGTGCACCCCGAACCCGGGACCAAAGTGCTATATACTGGGCCACTGGGCCGCCCATGTTGCTATGGTGATGTCGACTACCTAGCGTAACACACTTTCCATATTACCTACCTATTAACCAAAAAATACTGTAGTTTATAGTTAAATGTTGTGGAGTCAAAAGCTGAATATTTTTGTCTTTTAGTGTTAAATTGGAGATTTGGGGGATTGGACTGGACCATCATGCCTGGCAGTGTACAGGTCATTCTCTTCCCATTGAGATACATAAGAATATAGTCAAACTAATGGTTTGGCGCATTTCATCTTTTGCTGACTGCACTGACAAGAGAAAAAAATGCATTTTTTTTACCCATCCATTGTTCCTCTCACCTTCCTCATGGCTCCTTCCTCTCGATCCAATGCTGCACTGTTGGACTTCCACTCTCCTCCATCCTTTGTTCGATGCTCGCTGGTGCTGTTGTCCATCCCTCCTCCAGCGTTCTGTCCACCTCTTCCCATAACACCTCTTTCCTCACTCTTTGCTCCAAACTTCACCATCACATTGCCAACTCCAGATGCTAGCACACTCTTCCTTTTGGATTTCTGGCAGGTCTCGGAGATGACCATCTCTACACGAACCAGGGCTCCCTGTCCGTCACCCTCTGCCACTACAATGGGCCAGTGTTGCTCCTAATAGAAGAAAAGAGACAATGTGAAGGTGAACAGACAAAGCAGTAACATTTGGTCGTGTTGTACTTTGGACACTATACTGTCACTTTTGAGTGTTTCCTGAAAATATGTATCAGTAACGTCTGTAAAACGTCCATGGATTTTGTTCTGCACATATTTTTTTACACACCTTTAAATCGTCAGATAAAGAAAACTTTTGACGGCTAGTACCTGATTGTTTACGGAGATGACACTCTCATCCAATGACACAGCCGACAGGAGGAAATCCTTGGGATCATAAACATCAAGTGGTGTCACTGAACCGTCACTGTACTGGATCCATGCACTAATCACTGCTTCCTAAAAGACAATGAGAAAAAGATTATTGCTACAATTTGCATACATACATCTAATTAAGAAATGTGTATTAACAGTTAACAGTGTTTTGTATATACACTTTCCAACGCTGTAATCTCTGCTGCCTGCCTTTTGAATCTTTGTAGTTTCTTAATGTACTTCATGGATAGATCTCAGCAAACTTGTGCACATTTATTCAGCATTTGTTAAATGCTCGTATGGGTATACACACATGCATACTACAAAACTTCAGTCTTCCTTTTTTGGTGTCTGAGCTATTCCACTGTTACAGTACAGTACAGGAGCTACAATGAAGAATGATAAAGGAACTCTGATGTATGTTGAAATTGCTTATTTTTGGTGCAATGTTTTAAAGTTCAGAGATAGATGATTTTGCTAAGTGGTCGTTTTTACTTGCACATGTTTTGTTCCGGTGACCTGGTATTTAAAGCTGCATTTATTTATATTTTTACATTAACAACAGGTTAAAGTGACAAAGTGACCCCCGAGAATTATCACCAGGCTCTGCAGCTTTATGGGGCTTTTTAGCATCTTTAAGCTAACTGATTTAGTTTTCTGGTAGGTAACTTTACTGTTTTGATTCATTCTCACTGCTCTCATCAGCGTTGTATCCAGATGCAGCAGAAGACAAAAATATGGTAGTTAGCAACAAGCTGGAGAAGATAGGGAAGCATTTAGCAGCTAAAGAGCCAGATCCTCCTGAGACCCGGCAATTCATTTTTGTCCTCTGTAGGGGACATGGCACTGAGGGCTCTATTTCAAACACCATGCATGTAACCTGTTTTAGTCCTGAGTACATCCTGGGCTTTCTGGTGATGTCAGACAGTTGGGGGTGTGGCCAACAGATTAAAACATAGTATATATTCATTGGTGTTGACCTTGGTAGCTTGTGGGTATGATGTGTTTTTTGAGTAATTCAGATTTTTGTATCAATCAATCACACACACACACACACACTCTCTCACACACACCAACTTCTCTGTCTTTGGTCTCCATCTCTTCTATTACAATGAGGAAAAACACTTGAAAGAAAATAGTTTTTTTGTCAATAGTCTTCTTCCAGCAGCAGCTATTCCATAAATAAAGAGTTCTGCAGATAGTGTATTTTTCTCTGCTTGTCTCACTAATTTCCCATGATAAAACCCTTTGCCTTCTTTAATCAGAACACAAAAAACATTGTGTAGGTAATATAACAGCAAAAAACTCCATACAAAAGTAATTAAGCTGCAACAACCCTTTATCTCTTTCCCTCCCTCTTCTTTTATTAAATTGAAATGTTTCCTTGCCTCCTCCATTCCCTTATAAAGCACTTTGAATTACCTTGTTGTTGAAATGTGCTATACAAATAAACTTGCCTCGCCTTGCCTTATTTTTACCCCTCTTTCTCTCTGTCTTCTGTTTTTTTGTTTACTTCTTTCCACCCTATTTTCTTCTCCTCCTTACTTTCACTCTCCATAGTCTCCTTTCCACAGGTAATGGTGAATGAGGTAGATAAAAACAGACAGATAGAAAAATAAATAACTGTGTGAATAAAATGCAAGATCATATCTCAGTTTTCATCTTAATGAGCTGCTTCTCATCCAATTAGCCCTTGGATAGAAATTATAACCTGGGCTATTATTTGATTTATAAAAAAGAGAGAGAGGGAGGGAGAAGTGAAGGTGGGGGACATAGAGGGTGTGAGGGATAATAGTTTGAGATAGCAATGTGATTACAGAGTCAGGAATACCATGGCTTGTAACATGGTAGCCTAGCAATAAAGTATGCATTTGAGTGTGTGTAAGTGTGCTTTTCCATAGATAGTGTGGTAATGTACTGTGTAAGGGAGCAAAAATGGAGAAAAGACAATTAGAAACAGGTTTTTATAAATGCTATTAAATTCAATTTCACAATTTTAGTTTGGTTGAACACATACAGTATATGTATGCAAATGCAGTTTTAACTGTAATTTCAACTGACTATTGTCAACAGAATAACTGCCTCAATTTGGTTCTAGCTAACAATATAGAGTTCTTTTTACTGTAGACCTTTAGGTGGTTGTTAGTGTAGTTAAGTAGCGCTATAGCCCGGAAGTTACGCACCACTAATTAGAAACTGATTGATGGGCGAGATAGCAGCAATATGATGTTCCAGCACAGAATTACTGTTTAACATCTATGATTACAACGTTGGGGGTATTACTGTAGTGTGTGTGTCTGTGTAGTTGTGTGATCCCACCTAAAGGCAACGAGGTATCTATGTATGCTTATGTTCATGTTTTTTCATAGCAACTTACATTCTGAAAATCTGATACATACAGCCCTGGGACGATATGCTGTCTTGCAGAGATGGAGCTATTTTGATCTGTGTGTGTGTGTGTGTGTGTGTGTGTGTGTGTGTGTGTGTGTGTGTGTGTTAATGAGTTTGTTATACCTTAAATATCTCCTACCTGTTTAGGTGTGTGTAGCAGGTCTGTAGCTGTAGTTGTTAGTTGTATCGCCTGGTAATTCCCAGGACTTGCTGTCATACTGAGGGACAGAGATGCAATCAGCTGGACTCCCAGGTCCGTGATAGTGACCTAGACAAATAAGAGATACTGTATCTCATTCACAGAAGCAGCCAATGAAAAAGTTTGACTTTAACTTGTCGGCTCCCCTTTTAGTGGCTAGAAATTACAAGAAAGGGAAGGGTGTTTGAGAGACAACGTTTGGTACAAAGTGATGATTTTATCTTGTATGATGTTTAAAAATTTACTGAAAGTAAATCACTTTCTCGGTGGGGTAGATTCAGCACCTTTGGAAGTATGATGAAATTTTCATAATCTCTGTCGCACTGGAAGTGGTATGACGGGTCAGTCGCATAGGATGACATGCAATATTTATAACTGATGATTTTAAGACATTGTACATGCTAAGGATAAAATTAGAACCACAATGGATAAACTTTACCTTTCTAATGCTTTGTTATACTATAGGATGTACGGATTCTATATTGCTCAGTACTCAAAACCTATGAGTAATTAGGATTTGGATTGGAGTCCTCAGGGATCACCTTAATAATCAATTGTTTTCTAGCAGTGTGCATGTTGTTTAGTTTCATTTTTCAGACTATTAAGATCAATGCTGTGCCCTTGTATAACCAATGATCTTCAACATTAGATTTAAGAACATACAATCATAGTAGATGCTAATAAAAGGGACCTAGTGCATCCCAAATACATAAAATAAAGCCATATGTTATTTTACCTTGTCATCCAACACAGTCACAGTCTTCTCTGCCAGGATAGAGTCATATAGCGGGGACAGAACCTGCAACAAGGTACAAATCAGAATTACATTTAAACTTGAAAGAAGCTTTTGCTACCTCAAATTAATCTACAATATTAGAGTAGTAGATGAGACGACATAAGCTCAAAAGCAATTCAATCCAAATTTGCACTCTATGACAGCTTATTATGCTTTTTTATATTTTCTGGCATATCTATAATTTTACAATGTCAGATGTTTATGTTAAACATGACCAAAGCTTCAAATAATGAGGTAAAAGTATTAAAAAGAAATCCCTGTGAGCCAAAACCTCAGACTTCCCCCTGTTCTGAATGCTGTTTTAAACTGTTTTTTCTACTAATGGCTCGGTATGATGTCATTCCGAGCCGGATTTCCATATATGGGCATTTGCTCCAGGCAGAGAATGCTTGCCACACCCACAAATGAAAATGCAGCCCCATCCCTGCAGCAACCTGGTAAATACATAAGACAGTGGCCAATCAGAAGACAGTGGGCTTTGGAGGGGGGGCCTTAAAGAGACAGGAGCATCTACAGCTTGATTCAGACAGAGGCTGAAATGAGGGCCTGCATGTAGTGCCAGTATAAGTTCCTGCAAAGCTGCCACAGAACTACAATATAAGACTGGAAATACAGAATAATAGGTCTCCTTTAATTCCTGTTCAAAAAGCGTCAGATAGGTCTTTCCAGGTCTTTCTGTTTGCACCAGCTGCTAAATCAAAGAAAAAGTCATCACATTTCTGACAAGCTGGTTGTTGACAGATGATAGAATGACAGCTCATGTCTCAAAAAGGAAAACCAATGGAAATAACAAGCTCTTTGGGATCAGGCTGCGCAAGCAGAGGGGATTGGGAAGTACAGGTAAAGTATAGGAAACTCTGGAAGACAGTATGGAAGAGAGGTGCATGAAGGAGATTTTGTTGTTGTCTCAGTTATCATTGCCTTAAGGTGTCAATGAAGAGTTTAACACTGACAGAGGAGCAGTGACAGCTGGTTAACCCCACAGTGCTTTGGGCCACATAGCCTGGCAGTATAGAAAAACTAACACATACATGCGCACAGGTTGATCAAGTGAGTTCGATCTACACTTTACACAGGATGTTATCTATCATGTCTTAAACACGCATCTAAACAAACACAGACCTATAAAAGCTGATACTAGTATTGTCTGTGTGAAGAAAATGATGGTTTGGAAACACTACTGCTGTTATTTAAAATCTCTGACACAATATAACACACACTAAGTAGTGTAAACACACACGCACATACATGCATACGGTGTTCCCATCTGCCTCCCAGCTGTGCTCCAGTGTGTCAGCATTCAACAAAGACAACTTAGCATAAACAAAACGAAAGGCCAAAACTAAAGAACTGAAAGTGAGCGAATGAAACGAGAAGAGAGACAGTCTAAGTGAGAGATGGTGAGCAAGCAAGAGAGAAATAAATGGAGTAGGTGTCAGAGAAAGAGAGACAATGACAAATAGAGGAGGACAGAAAGTGAGAGGGGGCAGAAAGAAGGAGCGTGAAAGAGATTGGGGTTCAGATGGAGAGAGGGAACAGCAGACAAGACAGTGATAGAGATTAGGAGCCCCGTGTTGTAGTGCACTACTCCGCCCGGCGACAGCAGGACAGGCAGATCTGATTGGTGTACAAAGAAAATCTCTCAGCGAACGTGTCGGTGTATCAAACTCAATCCCACCCTCAGCGAGGTAACAAAATGCAATGATTGACGGCTCTGGGATTACTCTTCAAGACAGACAGAGTATAAGAGGGCGAGAAAGAGAGACTGGGGGCGAGAGAGGAGAGAGAGACGTGGAGGCGACTTGAGACTCGGGGAGATGGCGCTGGGGGGTAAAATTGAAATGTCAAACTATCGAATGACGGCTGTCGACTCTGGCATCTCGATGGGAATGCTAGGGAAAATTCTCTCTCCTGGCACCCAAACAGAGCACAGCAGTCTGTACGTGTGCATGCGTGCAGCAGTCCCCAGTCGATCGGATGCAAGCACACACTCAGCTGCTCCCCAGATGCCCCCCCCCCCCCCCCCCCCACACACACACACACACACACTACTGCCATGAACTCAGAACCAACTCACTTCTAAAACACTTAAAAAAGACTCATCAGAGCACCCATGTGTGTATTGTTGTGTGAAAGATGACTTGAAAGATTATAATGACTTTGAATAACATATTTTGGCGATTTTGCGCTGGCTCTGCAATATAACAGTATAGCAGTAATGTAAGACAGTAAGCCACAGGACTGTCCTCCACTGTCACATTCAGTCACAATAGACCGGCTTATTGGAATTCAGCAAGTGTGCAAGTGTGTTCACCGTGTGTCAATGTAAGTGGGTGTCTGTGTGTAATTGCTGAACATCACACTGAGATGTCAGGGCCAAATCCGACAGTTAATTGTGGCTAATTGTGTAACGAGCTAGCAGTCGAGGCTTATAACTGGAGAGAGAGGACGAGGAGAGGAAGAAAGAGAGGATAATGTTTACATCACTGGAGTGCTTATGGCTGCAATGTGAGTTGCCAAATTAAAATTGCGCTCCACATAATCAGACAATTTCAACTCTCTTTCACATACATTGTCCATGAATCCTTAAAATGCCATTGAAACACTGATTCTGGGATGCTTTGTCCTTTGACAGAGGTTGTCAATTTCTAAAACTTTCCATTAAAAGCTGAGTCAAAGTGACAAACTGACACCATGTAAGAACTTTTAAAAGTTTTGGGATATTTCATGCTATATTTTATTTATATTTGATTCTCATGTTGGCTGTCGCAGCTGGTGAAATGTAAAAAAGAGAAAAGACTGGATCACTTGTATAGTTATGAGAGCAGAACATAGAGTGTACATACCTGTATAGTGGTATGCCCCCGCTCCCGCCCGATCAAGATTTGTCCGTCTATCAGTCTGGCAATTTGAGGATCTTCTACCTGTGGAGTTTAATCAATCTGAATGCAGTTATCCTAGATCAATACTACGTACATTTGCTAATTTTAACTATTATTCACCAGTCCTTATTCCTAACAGGAAAGAGTTCAGAATTCAGAATGTTTTAATGAAAGACATAGATTTTTTTATGTAAATTTAGATTTGAAGATTGATACAAATCTTGTCTGTGAAGGTTCTCAGTCATCCAGGTCATAATTATCCAACGAAGGTTGAAGTCAAGGGCAACTGGATCAATCTTCTACCAAGTCCAGTTGCCCTTGACCTCAACCGTCATTGGATACAAATCTTGCATTTGTGCGTTAGAGTTAGAGCTGGAGTTGGGAGATGGTTTGCATAGGCAACCATCAGTGACATTGTACATAAGAATTATACTAAAGGCCAAACTGTTGTTTTAGAGCATGTAACTCCCTCTAATAGCACAAATTATTGTTTTTACATATTTATGTACAGATTAAACAGATGAGATACAATGTGTTGATTAGGTGGGTGTATTTCTGAGAGAGCCAGGCTAGCTGTCTCACCTTGCTTACAGTCTTAACGCTAAGCTAGGCTAATCAACTTCTGTGTCTATATATAAACTTAATGCACAGACATAAGGTATTGGGATTGATCTTCTTATCTAACTCTTGGAAAGCAAATTATATAAATGATAAATACAGTATTTCCCAAAATGTTGAACAATTCCTTCAAGGAAGATTTGGTGTACGTGTGAGTGTATGTGAGTATATGTGAGTATATGTGGACCTACCTTAAGCTGGTCTAAGACCAAATGGGTGATATCAGCTTGCCAGTCCGCACCTAACATGTAGACCATTTCTCCTCCTGGGTCAGAGGGTTCTGCAACAAAATGGGTGTGGACCCGCACCAAAGCATGCTGGTACTGAAAGGTCAAGAGAAAGGTGAAATTAGACTCTAATGCTTTGTCTGTCAATGTATTAGCTTGTGAGTTAACTGACGGAAAAATAGTACACAATAATACTACACAGTATCTTAAACCAACTGAAGCTAGTATGTAGCAGGACAGCTCTCAGGGATACTGACATTGAAGAAAAGGATTAAAGAAGACTCTTTAAATGTGTGATAGGCAAACCAATCAAATAATACCTGTAAGGTGCAGCCTTTGCCCTTCCTCTCATCATCCTCATCATCTTCACTGTCTCTTGTAGGTCTGGGGAGAAAGAAGATAAATGAAACAGAGAGAACAGAGGGTGAGATTATCTGGTAATTAAATGGCATTTTTACACTCAGATCCGGGTAATCTACTGTATAATCTCTGCCCCAGGTTACACTCTCAGTCAAAGAAAAGACAGTTTTTAATCCAGCTGTAACACTTTAGTCATACAATGTGGATTTCTTGGAATGCCTCGGTGAGCAAATCATTTCAGATGTTACTGGCCTTGTGATGCACTATTTGGTAATGCTGTATGCAGGTGATTTTTTAAATTAAACAGTATACCTAAACTATTGTAACTTCTCTTGAAAAGACAATTCCCGTGTGAATGGAGCCCCACTTTACCTCAATAAGTGTACAATATAAAGTGGGACTTGCCTTATGAAACTTAAATTTTCATGTACTTGAAAAGATGTCCGTTTAAAACAGCATAAGTCTTCTACAGTAAGTTCTTATCCCAATATAGCATTGAAACAACGTCTGTAAAGGTTAAAAAAATCTTTCTATACTGGTTTGTTGACAGGATTGAGCTTTGAGTTGTTTTTTTCTATTACTGTTCTCCAGTGCTATGAATCTGCAAAACTGACTCAAACCTATATGGAGGCACAGTGCTACATCTCATACTTCTTTATAAACTGTACTCAGTACTTTATCTAAGTATTTATATAAGTACCAAAAGCAAAAAGCAGTAGTTATACAATTTGCTATAAAAATCTGGATCTGAATCTGACTTTATCTTTTCATGTCACCACAATAGGTATTGTGTCCTTTTGCCATCTTTCCATTATTTGCCAATGTGCACCTGCTAATGAAGCACAATTTGTGTTTGAAATTAAACACAAAGTGTATATATATATATATATATGATTAAAAACATATAAAATAATATGAAAAGTATAACTTGGTATAATTCCACAGCTAAGGAGGCTGAATAATTCCAAATAAAGAAATAAAATTAATCTGATGACACTTAGAACACACGATCAGTGTTAAAACAGAAAACCTCTCTCCCTCACTCCCCGGTGGAGGATCTCTATTTCTCTTTTATACACAGACACACAAAGAAACACACATTCTTTCTTCTTTGCCTCCCTCTGTGTAATATCTACACAATACCACATGCAGGCAGGCCCACACAAGATCATACATCCACACAAGACACACGCGCGCACTGTCCCGGAGTGTGAAAGCCAGGCAATATAACAGGAATTCTTTTTCCATTTTTCCAGTGTCCCAGTTGCACAGTGTCTGTGTGAGAGAGTGTGTGCCTAATAGTGCTTGTGTTTCACTCAGATAGTGGTTAGGGGAGATAGGTGTGTGTGTGTGTGTGTGTGTGTGCCCAAGTTGGTGGCTATCTGAGCAGAAATTGGCAAAATTGAAAAATAGGACCAGCAGAACAGAATGAAAGGGTGGCAAGATGGGGAATAGAAGCAACACACACACACACACACACACACACACACACAAATGTGCAATGAAACATAGAGGCATAGGAGCACACACACAAAGAGAAAAGACAAACAGACAATTAAGAATAGGGTTTTTGTAACCTCACAAAGAAAGAGCACATGCATAGTTTGGCTGATTTTCAACTGTGTGTGTGTAACAAGTTAGTAAGTGTATGCTGTTATTAAAAGTTGAGCCTTTGAAACTAAATTCCCTATTGTGACTCTGAATTTCAGTTCAATTTATATCAAGTTGCAGGCTGTGCATCTAAATGTGGCAACATCTTGCTTACATATCTCATGTATATTGAAGTTGGAGTTTCTTAAATTATAAAAACCACTTCATTTTGGTTTGTGCTGTCAAGCTGGGTTCAGTTTGTTCCCAGTGTTTTTGGTGTTTCCCCCTCCCCTTGTGTTCTGTCTTCCCTGTCTGTTGTCTGTCTCTGGGCCTTTCCGAAACTAGACCCTCGCCACTTCCACTCCGACACGGGGGGGAACTGTGGTCGGAGTCACCCTCCAGGCCAAATCGAGCTCCCTAACCTGCGTAGGGGTTTAAATACACGACGAACTACCCTCTCTCCCCAGCATAAATAGGATCTGATGTTACCGCTGCACTCACTGCTATAATACGTGTATCAAATAAACAACAGTGGTATTAAGATTCAGGGTTGATGTTGAGGAAAAGTGTGTTTTTTGCAATAACGAAACTGAAAGCATTTGACATTCATTTTGTGTTTGTGTTCGTGTTGAATATTTCTTTAAGAACATGACTTTATATATTTACGAAAAATAAATATTATATCCTTTTATGAAAAGATTGATATTCATTGTAAAGAACAGCCTATATATTTGAACCTCTTTAACCTATATGACAAATGTTACATTCACAAATACATCATTTCAATATAAATTATATGGGCTACGTTGTTAATCTGTGAATGGTGACGTGACAATGTTTGTGTATTTTTGAAATAAAAAATCCTACATGTTAACCGTAGAAGTCACATTGAACGCAAATTGAAAGAAAGTTCCCCCATTGTGCAGCCAAGGGTGTTACACACCTTCAACAAGCCAGCATTGGTGCTGACTTAGCATTTTAGGGTTTAACAACCCACTACCACTCAGCACTCATTGGTTTCAGATGGCACTCAATGTGGCGGATCCTCTGCATGAACGCGCAAATGGAGGTATGGAAGTATGTAGGGAGAGGGAGTAGCAAGCAATTACGTAAAGGTCCTTTGTCTGTTGTCTGTCTCTCTGTGTCTGTTGGTGTGGGTGCGACCTCCCTCCCCTGGCCCCCAGCTCGTTTCTTCTGGCTTCACACACCTGTTCACTATTCACCAATCATCCTGCTCAGCGTACGCACCTGCCTCTCATCATCCCGCCTACCTGCAGTAGATCAACCCCAGCTTCTCATCCATTGTTTGCCAGATTGCTGTTCAGCCCTTGCGGTAGTGACTCCCAGCTTTTTTGTAGTTATTTAGAGTTTGCTTGTGCATGTGTTTTATCTGTATAATAATTTACAGTCAGAGTGTTGCATTTGGGTCCAGCCTATTAGGAAACATAACATGTGCTCAGCTGAACATAAATGTGAAGTTCCATTTTTGTCACATGGTTGATGTGCGTACGGCTAAGTCATAGTTTCATCCTCAGAGGAAATACAGAGTTTTGGATTTCATTCATTTTTAAACATTTGATTATAACAATGGTATACATTATAGATTGTACATATTATCTAATATTTTATTAATAGAAAATCTGGATCGAGATCTTCATTAAAATACACAGTGACAGACAATCATAGGTTACATGTGCCATTTTTTTTTTGCAGTGCAGTGACTCATCTCAGCCTATAATGTTACCGTAAAACATTTTAAAACTGTTCCTAGACCTGCAGCAACTAAATCCATAAAATGGATTTTTTCATATTCTAATGATTTGGATTTCTACCATATTTCATAAAGAATAGCTACATTTTAGAGATTCCCTGTTAACAAATAAACTGACAGATACAAACCAGACAGAAAACACATTCTCCTTGGGAGGAAAACCTAAATGACAAAATAAACAGAGTAATTTAGAGAATTGTGTTAAAGAAATATTTCATGGTTTATACAAAACTGATTTCTATTACAATAATTAGTTTCTACTGTAAAATATTCATCTGAGATTGTCTTATTGCACAGTAGAAGAAAGATAAAAGCCCTTCTACAGTTTATATTCTGTCCTACATCCATTCTTTCTCTACTGTTGCACCCTCACCCTCCTACCTTCTTTCACATCACATGGACACACAAAAAATAACAAGACACACATACATGTACACAAAGACACACAAAAGTATGTTGAAAAACTGACCTTTATACACCAACACCTGCATTGTCTCCCTTTTGAGAGATGGTGTGTTTAAGTGACTGAATGCTTCATTCAGTGGCAATGATGCTAAAGCCATAATAGTTGTCATCAGTATAGCCAGGCAGGCCTTGACCTCAGAAGAAATTATAGACTGGCAGGAGCGATATGTGCTCTCAACTGCTCCATTCAATAAGCACTATATCACACACACACGCACACTCGGACAACAAACACACAGAAAAGCCGAAAGACACACACATTCACACATTTCCTCAGTTTATTATTTTCTCTATCTGTTGCAAATCTTTAGCATAAAACAAATTAGACACAACAATAGTCTCTTTGTTTTTTCTCACATGCTGATACTCCGTACTTTTGTTGAAGAAACAATATGCATTTACTGCTTTCAAGCTAAACAAGTGGATGGACCAAGACATCATCAGCCTTTTCTGTTGTTTCTGCTCTCACACATACTTTAGAAACTACAACAGATTCCAGAAGACGGCAACGTTTGATGTGAGAGGAGGTCCTTAATGTTTTGATTGTTTGTATTAAAATTACTTGAGTGACAATACTTGCTGCCACAGTACAACTAGATTTTTAGCATAATGGTACGTTGTTGCTGGTGCATGCTCCTATGTCGGCTTGGTCAGTGTAGTGATTTTTACAATGACGGCTCAACATTGTGATATCTGCAGCCATCGGTGATGGACGACGGCATCATCTATTGGCCCAAGCCTGTAACATATGTTGTGTGTTTATTTAAAAAAGTGAAATGGTAGTCTCCTCAAATCTAGCATCTGGTGGGCTCTATTGCAGACTGCCAGCCAGAAATGTCTGGCGATTTCAGGTGGACTAACTAGCTATGATACAAAAAGATGATCCCTCACTGGCTTCCCACCCTTGAACACTATATACTGCACACTCAGTATTCTAACAGCAAACAGTCATGTTCGCTGGTTTGATGTATTTAGCTGTTGCAGGAAAGGTGCCAGGGAAATGGAGGATGGGCAAATAGTATGATTGTCTTCACAAAATGACCAGTACGGTTTAATTAAAATGCAAACCGATACTCATGCTTACACCATCTATGTTTCCCTCAGTTATTCCCTGATAGTCATACAGGTAATTCACCTCTTGTTAGTGATGATCGGTACCCTCCAGCCTTTAACCTGGCTCAGCTCAGTATCTGACACATCTATCTGCAGAGGTAGCTTTGGCACCCAGACAGTGAGCTGCAGCTGAGCAGAAAGGTGCAGGTAGGTGAAGTTGATTGCCAAAGACTGCCGACCGCACATTTCTTTACCATTCAGCAAAACCTGGTCACAGTTTGGGGACACCTGAAAAGAGGAAGAGCAAAAGAGGAGAAAATCAGTTGGGTTGAGTTTGGGAAAATGTGCATGCACAGTCTGACATGTCAAACTGACAACAAACAGACCTAACTCAGGGATTCCACTGATACAGCCTGTGGTGTGCATTCTCTAAAGAGCAACTTAGGTATTTTTCAATCTGGAGTCTTATTTAAGTTTTTGTCTCTGTGTGACTAATTGGGACAAAATGTTTAGAAATTGGTAGTGAGTAAGTGTGCTGCATTCGATAGCTGCTACGTAATTCTTATAAATAATTGCGCCCAGTCAAAGTATGTCCACTAAAGTGCTTGTTTTTGCCACTGACAGTCTCAGATGCACAGAGCAAGATCTTTTTTGTTTAACCAGGAACAGCCGCTATTTCACTCTGGTCAAAGCCACCAGACTCCAGATAAAAACAGTCATCTCTCCTGGGTCGGTTAGTTTGTCAGTGTTATTGTGTGACTTTGTTGTTTATGTTCGTGATATTATGTGACTTTGGTGTTTAAAATGGTTAAAAATACTAAAGAATAAGTCACACAATAACACAGGCAGCAGTAGACTAGAAAGGTAATATTATTATTGCCACTCGCTCAATACCAACCAATTTCAAAAAATGCTTTCTCCATTAGACACACAGAAACAAAAACATAGGAAAATAAGTTCCAGGTTAAAAAAATACCGAAGTGACTCTTTAAGCACAGCCTGGAGCATATTTTCATCAGAACCTTCATGCTCTTGCAGCAAATAAGATATTTTGTCACTGATTGCTTACATTTTTATTCATCTTGTAAAGCACTTTGGTACGCTGTTTTGCAAAGTGCCACATAAAGAAAGGTTAATAATATGCTTCTGTACCTTCTTCCTGCCACATCAGTGGCATTTGGGTTTGTGGATTCCCAGTGAGCTTTGGTCACCTGCGAAAATCTGAAGTAATGTACAGTATAAAATGTGCAACATGCAATGTTCTAAAACCAGGAAATCACATTAATTTCAATCCATTAGCACAATTACTTTGAACACACCACCCACGAGAATACTGGCAGCATTTGCACTGACTTTTAAATTGTGTGCCCATGGATCTAGGAGGAGATCTGGTCCAAAATATGAAGAGGGCTAGAGGGCAAAAATAAACTATGAATACAAGACTTGTATTTGGATTTCAGTTTTTTTATATTGTTGTATACATAGGTACTTTTTATTGGACCTGAGTACTTCTTCTACCACTGTTTGTCTGAAACAGCAGCACCGTGTATCTGGTTGGGTATCAAACCATCTTTATGTTTAGCTCTCTGTTACCTCTAGTCCAGTCTGTGGAAAATCTCTTCTTTATCAACTTGACTGAAGTTATGCACCATTGCATGTTTTCTGTTTCTATAATTATGGAAATGCAGAAATCTAGTTTTGGAACAATTTTATTGAAATTAAATTGAAACCGAAGAGCAAAAAATGAATGTCGACACTGGATTATTATGGTTGTATTTCAGAAAGTGGACAGCACCCCTACAGACAATGTGACAGGCAGAACAATGGAAAAACCAGGATTTTAGTCAGTTTCATTTTCACCCTCCTTGCTTGTCTGACTGTGTGACTGATTGAAATGACATTGTTGGGACAAAATCATCCCACATGTTTTATCAACAATGGATTCACGCAAGAAGGACTGATCATAACCCGAGGTGGGCATTTGGTGATGGTTTGCCAAGCTGTTGTGGTAGCTATACAGTAGGCACACAGTATATATATTATCTTAAGATGGATATATTATTGTGAGCCTAAACAGAATCAATCTCTTTGCATCAGCAAACATGGAACAAATACAAGGTCATCTACAATTTCTGTAATTTATCTACACACCTTTACATTATTTAATGTCACATTTATTTAATTAATTTCTACATTATTTTAAAGAAAACCGAAATTATTATTTTGTCAAGAAATTATGCTTTTTTACTGGAACTTATTAAGAATACTGACTAAAATCATCGAAATGTACAAAGGTAAAATCTATAACGAACGTAAATATTAAATCATATTAATTGCTGAAAAACTGCATTGAATTTATTTACTCATTCTGTCATTATCAATCTTTTTCTCTTTCTGTGCCTCCCCTTCATTACTTCAGATTCTTTCCGCATATTTCCACAGCCATTTACCCATTCCTGGCATGTATATAACTTCTACTCCCCCTCTTTCTTTACCCTACACTTATCCTCCCTTGCTCAGTTTTATTCTCTTTTTATCTCTCACACTGTCTTTCATCTCCCCTTGCTACACGAATCCTGCACACCTAATTCTTTCTCCTCACTTCTTCCTATTTCACTCTAAGCTTAACATTTAACGTGCACTCCTTTTGCCTCACTTTCTCTTTCTTTCTGTCTCATACAGTCTGTCTGACTCTCACTGCCTGTCTCTCTCACCTTTCAATATGTATCTGCCTTATTCTACTTTCTTTTGAAAAACAAATTTCCATACACCAGGTTTTGCCCTTCCTTCCCCTGAGCCCCTCTTCACATTGCTCTGATTTAAATGTATGTATGTATGTATGTATATATATGTATTTTTAAACCTTGATTTACCTGGGGTAGAGTTCTCTAGTGGGTATGATCTTTTCAGCAATACCCTCTTTCATATTTATCTAGTCATACACATTTGTACCAGGCAGCTGACCAGACAGGGTGCCTCACTTATCTTTTTCTCCCATGTAGATATTTTCTCAGGACTAAATAGAAATGAAAACAAAATGAGAGTGAATATTAGACTCAAACTCAAAAATAGGACTCAAGTGGGATACTCATGTAGCTCTGTGTCTGCCGGATGTGGTCCAATGAGTCACCCAACAATTGCATGGATGTTCATGATCAAATTATCTACCCAAACATGTTTATCCAAGTTCATCTCCGTGTTTATTTTTTGTTAAGTCACATTTGATCACTTGCATTTCTGTGAGAGTCCCTGGAATCAACACTCACTTTAGTAAATACCCAGTGTGTGGATACCCAGTCTTTGTCTGGTGTTTGCATTCCTACAATTAAAATATATACAGTATACAAAAAGTTCAAATTTGTAGCTGTGTCTGTGGTCTCCCACTCTTTTAAAATCAGTTAAGATTTGATAATCCAATCCAAAGCTAGCTAGCAAATGCACTGACTGTGTCTATAGATGAGGCGCTCATCTTTAAAATTTGCTTTCCATTCTAACAACCAGTACAGTTGGAGGGAAAATGGTTGCTAATAATTTAATCTAATAACTTGATGACCCTGGCCTATAACTTCATTTTGGAGACTTTCTGACTCATCAGAATCCATGGTAGCGGTATGCTTCATAATTTCCTCAAACATTGGTGGTCTCTTTGACATATCGAGTGTAGTTATCTTGATCTTAATCTTGATTATTTAATGATTTATGTGTTTATTGTTGGTGTTGGGCAGGAGAGGGCATCAGATAGCGTGAGAGCAGCAGAGTAGAGAATAGCAGGAGAAGATGTTTTTGGAAGTTTACGGTGTTTCTCGCAATGTTGTGAAAAATTTGGAGGATTTATGAGTTTTTTTTGTTTTTTTTTTAATGAGTTTTTACATTAAACTGTTGACTTTTGTGTCAGGTTCTGGCTGATTATTGTCAGGCTCAGGCCAGACAGAATTTTCAGTTTCCCTGAAAAACACAAACAATCACACGCAGGGCACACGCTTTATGTGGAGTGGCATTTTTTCTGGCTTCCTTATGAAACTCTTTGATCTCAAAAGAGGTTAACATTTTATACATCAGACCTAAACCATTTCCTCTCTATCTCCTCTCACCTTTTAATTTCTTTCAATTTTACTTCCTTCTCACTGCTTCGGCTCCCCTGACATAAAAGGAAAGGTGCCCAACCCTTCTCCTCTCTGCTTTTTCTATTCATTTTCTCTTTTTCTTCTCTTCCTTTAATTTTCTTTATATCTCCCCCAATATCCACTGTTTGCCCCTCGTGACCTTCTCTTTTTCCTTTGTCCCATCTAGCCCTCCCTCCCCCTCCTTCTTCATCTTCCTCTCCCTCTGAAACCTGATTTACCGCTTGTTAACATCAAAGGGATTTTAGACTGTTGGTGCCTCAAACTATTTCTCCAAATCATTTTTATATTCCAGGTGTAAATCAGTGTGAAAACTGCACTGGTTAGTGTGGCAGGGTTCAGTTTCCAATGAAGGCATAAGACAGCAGAAGTCGAGGGAATGCACAATGGTTCTGCTTGAACTACCACTGCAACCATTGTCCAAGTCTGTCATTTCTATCATAGGTTTGGTGAATTGCTTCTGCTCTATGGCTCAATGCCCCAGAGGAATGTTTTAGAAAAATCAAGAAGTTAATTTATGTCAGCATTTGGAAAGTTTGAAGAAATAGCCTTGTAACTTTTCAGTTCAGTAACACAGGAGTTTTGAGTTTACAAAATACACATTCTACTGCACATCAGGATAAACCCTCAATTACTAATACAAAATGGATGCAATGCAATTTTCTTTCCCCCTCTTGTTCAGTTTAAATTCTCTTTTAATTTCTCATAGATTGTCTTTGCTGTGTTAGTGTGTGTGTGTGTGTGTGTGTGTGTGTGTGTGTGTGTGTGTGTGTGTGTCTGTGTGTGTCTGTGTTGAGCTGTGGAGCAGAGCTGTGGAGCAAAGTGCCAAAATAGACTCATGATGGCTGCCAGACACATGATGTGGGGATGGCAAAGTAATGCTAGTAGACACATGACACAAACATACACACAGCTGAGGACCAATGATGGAAGAAGTTTTCAGAGTCTTAACTTAAGTAAAAGTAGAAATACCACATTATAAAAATGATCCATTACAGGTAAAAGTCTGGTTTTCAAAATATTAAGTACAGAAACAAAAATTAAAATTAAAAGTATTTATTATGCAGAATGGCCCCAGTCAGTGTTATTATAATAGTGTATTATTATTATTAATGCATTAACATGTAAGCAGTACTTTAATTTTGTAATTGGTCTAAGCAGTTGGTT